CTCCCAGACTGGTTCCACCTGGTGGGGCTCCTGCACGACCTGGGGAAGGTGCTGGCTCTGGCGGGGGAGCCCCAGGTGAGGGCAGGGGTGGAGGGCGCTTGGGCAGGGCCCGGACAGCCTTAGCTCTGGGCTTGGGACACCCACTTGGCGGGCAAGCGAGTCGTGCCCACCCATGGCTGCCTGTCCCTCCCCAGTGGGCGGTCGTCGGCGACACCTTCCCCGTGGGCTGCCGGCCCCAGGCCTCTGTGGTCTTCCACGACTCCACCTTCCAGGACAACCCTGACCTCCAGGATCCTCGATACAGGTGCCCCCCGACCCCGCTGGTCCTCCACGGGGTGTTTCTTCATCTTCTTTTTAAAAATATAGTACAGCCCTGACCGGTTTGTCTCAGTGGATAGAGTGTCAGCCTGCAGACCAAAAGGTCCTGGGTTCGATTACGGTGAAGGGCACATGCCCGGGATTTGGGCTCGATCCCCAGTGTGGGGCGTGCAGGAGGCAGCCGATTTGTGATCTTCTCTCATCATGGATGTTTCAGTCTCTCTCTCCCTCTCCCTTCCTCTCTGAAATCAATTAAAAAAAACCAACCAAACAAAAAAACAACCACTTTTTTTTAGTAATATATTTTTATTGATTTCAGAGAGGAAGGGAGCAGGAGAGAGATAGAAACATCCATGATGAGAGAGAATCACTGATCGACTGCCTCCTGCACGCCCCGCACGGGGGATGGAGCCCGCAACCCGGGCCTGTGCCCTGACCAGGAATGAAACCGTGACCTCCTGGTTCCTAGGTCGCCGCTCACCACTGAGCCACACACGCTGGCCCAGGGCGCTTCTGAGCCCCTCACCCTCCCTCTCTCCCTGCAGCTCGGACCTCGGCATGTACCAGCCGCACTGTGGGCTCGAGAACGTCCTCATGTCCTGGGGCCACGATGGTGAGGCTGGCGACAGGCTGGCATTGCCAAGGAAGGGGCCGCCCCCCTGGGTGCCTGGTGGTGACCCCTCTCTCCCACAGAGTACATGTACCAGGTGATGAAGTTCAACAACTTCTCCCTGCCCCCCGAGGTAGGTATGGGGAGGGGCCCCCCCGCCGGCCCGCCCGCCCAGCCTGGCGCTCACTAGGGGTGGCCTCTTCCTGTCCCCAGGCCTTCTACATGATCCGGTTCCACTCCTTCTACCCGTGGCACACGGGGGGCGACTACCGGCACCTGTGCAGCGAGCAGGACCTGGCCATGCTGCCCTGGGTGCAGGAGTTCAAGTACAGCCACCCCACGGAGCCTGGGGGCGAGGGCGGCAGGGGGGGGGTTGTGGGCCTCCCCTGAGTCACCGTCCCTTCTTCGCTGCAGCAAGTTTGACCTCTACACCAAGTGTCCCGACCTGCCGGACGTGGGCCAGCTGCGACCCTACTACCAGGGCCTCATTGACAAGTACTGTCCCGGGGTCCTGAGCTGGTGACCGGCCGCCAGCCCTGCTCAGGCCTGCCCGGGTTCCCTGGGGGCAGCCGGTGTCACGCCTGCCATCCTTGCTCCCCACCCGTGGCCTCTCGTTCGGTGGCAATAAAGACCTAGAAGCAGCCCTAGCTGTTTGGCTCGGTGAATAGAGCATCGGCCCGTAGACCGAAGGGTCCCGGGTTTGATCCCGGTCAAGGGCACCTACCTCGGGTGCAGGCTTCTCCCCGGCCTGGGCCCTGGTCGGGGCTGCTGCAGGAGGCAACCCATCGATGTGTTTCTCTCACTTCAATGTTCCTCTCTGTCTTTCCCTCTCTCTTCCACTCTCTCTAAAAAAATCAATGGAAAAATATCCTTGAGGATTAAAAAAAAAAGGAAGAAAGAAAAGAAAACTAAAAAAAAAAAAAGACCTAGAAGCAGCTGGAGTTGGACCTCACTGAGCCCTGTGTGTTGGGTGCAGGGCAGTCTGCGTGCAGGGGCAGGACCCGGCCTCGTGGACATGGGTCCTGCTGTGCCCGTCGCCCTCCCAGCTCCCCAGTGAGAACCTGGGGTCACCCTAGTCGCCACCCCCTCTTTCTCAAAACAGTCACCAAGTCCTCTGGGATTGGCCATCTTATAAAAAGAAACACCTGCCCGGCCGGCGGGGCTCAGTGGTTGAGCATCAACCCATGAACCAGGAGGTCACGGTTCAATGCCTGGTCAGGGCTCATGCCTGGGCTGTGGGCTCGGTCCCCAGTGTGGGGCATGCAGGAGGCGGCCGATCCATGGTTCTCTCTCATCATTGATGTTTCTCTCCCTCCCTCTCCCTTCCTCTCTGAAATCAATAAAAAAATATTTTTTAAAAAGAAAGAAACACCTCACAGCTAAAGAACACACTGCGGAAACACACAACAAGTGCACAGGGTACAAACATGAACCATGAATACACACACCAGCCCCCCACCCCGTCCGGTGCCCCAGGTGCAGCCCC